GCAGAAAGAAGAAACAAACAAAGCACAGAAGCTCCGAGGCTGTAGGTGACTCACTCAATTGTGCATAATTGGGGGCTGGCTCGGCTGGGAATGGAATCTAAAGAAGAAATGTGCTGAGTGAGCCAATTCAAATTATTGTTATTTACTTGCTTATTAACTCAGTGAAGAATATGAATACACGAGAAATTTCTCTACCTGTGAATTAAATAACGGGCCTTTGGGCTGATAAAACGTTCCATAAACAAACTGCCCATTCTTAGTGTCCAGTATTGCTCCCAGTTCGAGAGTTGATTATTTTGATGTTTTCTTATATCCATTTAGAAAAGAAAAAATTACTATATTCTATCCTCATTTCGATTCTAAATATGGAGATGCTTTCTAAACAGCACGGCTCCTTGTGGCTTTTCGGGGGTGGGTTGTAGGCCCCTGTGCTGGGAGAAGGGGGCGGTGATGGCTCCTCTGCTGCTCCCGCCCCGTGTGAGATGCCTAGGAGCAGCCGCGGGGCCTGCAGGGGAAGGCCCGGGGGCCTCAAATTTGGGAGGAGTCTCTAAACGTGGGGCTGGGACCTCTTAACAGTGGCAGAAAAGTGAAGATAAGTTATGAAGTAGTCACAGGGACATAAAATACAGCATCGGGAATATGGTTAACAATACTGGGGCCGAGACTAATTGGGGGTCACTTCATAAATTATATAAATGACTAACCACTGTGCTGTACGCCCGCAACTAAGAGAATACTGAATGTCAGCTGTAATTGAAAAATGAGTAAATAAACAAATAAGGCTCTGCTGTCAACAACCAGAGGCTCTTATCTGCTCTACGAGCCTCTGTGATCTGAGAATCACACTGGAGCTTGCGTTCTGGGAGCACTAGCGTTTTTGGCTTCTCTGTGGCACTTTTTATATAGGAAGGAACAAACAGTTGAATCTGATTATTGTCAATGAGCATATTATCCTTTACATGTATCATTTAATAAAGATTATTCTAAACTCCAGCATTACAGCACTAATAGTTGGCACCATGAATTGCTGAGGGTCTCCTGCAGCGGGGTGGCCTGAGAGCTATACCTTCTGGATGTGCCCTGGGTGACAAGGTTACACCTAGAAAGCATCCCAGGTTGACTGAGCAAGTCTGAGCTCCATTAGGTTATCTGCTGGCTCCGTGCCCCTAGCCAAATTTTTCAGTTAGGAGCCTCCATTTCCTTGTTTATAAACCTCAGTGCCCAGGGATTCAAGGCACCTAATTTTCCCAAATGTGTGTGTGTGTGTGTGTGTGTGTGTGTGTGTGTGTGTGTGTGTAAAGATTATGTGAAGCAATATGTGTAATTCCTAGCATTTGGTAGTCATTGAAAAAAATTTAGCTTCTGTTCTTCCAGGATTTGCATAACTAGTAAGTTAAGGCTGGATATTTAAGAAAAAAAATCCCATGGTATTAAATTAATGCTCTAAAGGTCATTTAGCTGTTTTTCAATCTTCCGTTCAAATCCATTCAGTCTCCGCTTATACCTTATGGGACTTTCACCACATGACATGGTTTGCAGGGATGTGGCGAGTAATTTGCCATGCTTACCCAGCATTCTCTGAGAGTCCCACGTGTATTCATACCAGGTCCGAACCCGATTCTGCACGCTCTTGGGAATGGAATAATTGTTCATGTAGGCGATGGTGTGATCCATGCAGATCCGGAAGCTGTTCTGATTGGCTGTTGCTGCTCCAATCACATCTCGCATCTAAAACCAAATGTGGTCACTTCCACAAACGGCAGAGGAACTGGAGGAGTTACGAAAAGCCCAGCCGAGTTAAGTTTTCCCGTGATACATTCCATTGTATACTCTGGCCACTTGGTTTTTATCACACTGATACTGGGTCCTGACTCAATCACTTCTACAAAATATTGGGCAAATCGTATCCTCTTTCTGACCCAGTAACGAAACAGTAAGACCCGTCTCATCTCCCATATGAGGTTTCTGTGACGATTCAACATATAATGCATGTGACTACACAAAATTCTTTGAAAACTTGTACATTATTGCAAAGACGTTAGTTGACTTTTAAAAAATTACCTAGCTTGTGCTTATGCAAGGAATGTGTAAAGAAAGTGAGCCATTATCTGGCAGAGTGGCTAGTCTATTTTGGTGAGTCTCACTTTGAAAGCATCCTTTATAGATTATCCAGTGTGGCTGGCTGTATAGACGCAATTCATCATGAAATTGCAACCTCTGTAGTTCCCTTTGTGTTGTTTAGACAGATAAAATCAAATCTCATCGTGCTTAAGGCACAGTATTCAGCAGAAGTTGAAATGCGCTGGAATTACTGAGGCATCATCCACTGCTGTGACAATCCTTAAAGAACTGTCAGGTTTTAGTTCTTGGATGTTTATAACTCAACCATAAAAACCCACTCTAGGTTAAAAGCTGATCTTAAAGGTTTCAGCACAAAAAAAGATATATAGCTCGACTCTTCCCCTCACACAGAGGGAAGCAAGTGGCTGTAAATTTGCTTTGACTGAGGGTTTATTACGGGGAGGAGAGCCAGGGACTCACACTCACACTCTTAAGACTTTGCTCGTTCATTTGTGGTAGCTGAGCCTTTTCTGCTTATGGAGAAATGGCTCATTCTTTGAGGTCTAGCTTAAGTGCTCTTTTGTGATGGCTTCTTCGGCTTCCATTTTAGAGTGAATAATAAAAGTTATCCAAACTGTCTGCTGAGCAGCCATGCAGATAGCCAGCCTGGAGGCGTCCTCGTCGGCCTCTGCCTTCCTTGTGGGGCTCCTCTAAGCGCCTTCCGCAACCTCAATGCCCAGGCCTCCTTTCTCCCAGCTGCACCTGGCGGCTGACCAAGGTAGCGAGTCTTCTAGGGCGTGAGAAAGGGGCATGAGGGGTGGGGCTGGGAGATTTAATAGAGTTTTAAATTGGGAACCAAAGAACGTTAAAGGCATTACTGATCGGTGCCGAGGGCCTAGAATTTGCAGTGACAGTGCTCTGAGCAGTGTGCGTGCTGGCTCTGGTGGTGCGGGGGTTGAGGAAGATGGCTATTCTGGCTATTCCGGGATGGGGTCAAGGGCAGCGAAGTGCACGAGGGTGTGAGAGGGAGAGAACAGCAGTCTTTGTGAGTTGATAAGAGAACTGACCATCACAGTGAAGAGGTAACAATCAGGCCCTGGGGCCGTTCTCGGTGTGGTGCTAGGTGGGGATTTTGGATTCTGTCCCAGGCCCTCTTGCTCTCTTCTGTTCTCCTCAGCATCTTTGTTCATGGCGCAAGGTCAAGGCGCAAGTCTCTGCCTCCTGCCCGATCTTTGTCTCCAGCTGCAGTCCCACCCCCTCGGTGCCTGTGGCTCTCCCAAAGACCTTGTTAAAATGCAGGCTTTAACTCTGCAGGTCCTGGGTAGGGCCTGAATTCTGAATTTCCCAAGTGATACTGTGCTGCCGGTCTGGGGACCGCACTTGGAGTAGCAAGAATACTGAACGGAGCTAGACATAGTTTTTAATCTTGGAAAAAACTGCATTGGACATAGTGAGGGCAAATACCTGTCATTTTACTGTTATTATCCATGCTACTTTGTATGGCTCTAGCAGGTGACTGTGTGAATGACACACATGAATTAGGGTGCCTCTTAATCTCTTTAAGCTGGAGTTTCCTTGTCTGTAAAACTGAGAAAACACTGAATGTGACATGACTACCTCACATATATTCTATGAGACAAAATTAAATAATATGACTTTTGCAATTTATATTCAAATTAATTTGAATAACATTTCTCTCTAACCGGCCTATTTTCAATCACTGTTAATGCAACCTCCCCAGATGTTAAGATTATGACATTTTATACTTACAGTTTTTAACTGCTTGGTGTTTGTCTTCCCAAACCTAAATATTTTCTAAATAGTTTCTTTGACAAGTCTCTCTCCACTCTATTACCATGTTCGGGCTGGAGCTGCCATACACCTGTGTATCTATATTGACCATGTTTTTCACTTTCTGTATTCTGATGCTTCGCTATCGGAGACTACCCCGCCCAGAGTTAGCTAATTCCTAGAGATACCTGGACACTCTGCAGGGAGTGCACCTGTCACACACCAGCCGACCGACCTCGAGCCTGCCCTGTCGGCTCCCACACTCCCTGTCATGCCCGCCTGCCCTAGTCACCCCGGGGCCAGGCCCCGTGCACATCCTCCTCCAAGTCATTAAAACAGGTCCAAGTTAGTTTTAAAAAAGCACCATATAGATTTCGATTTTTCCTCTGTAAAGTTTATAAAGACTTGCTAGGTTTTTAAAAATGACAACATTATGTATCTAGGGATTCGCATCTTAATTTACCTGACCAATTAGGCTGGAGAACACAAAAACTCCCAAGAAGAAATTCAGCAGTTGAAAAACGATTTCGAATGAAGTGTGCGGATCTGGAAGGCCTCCAATGGTAATCAAACTTCGGACTGCCCAGTAGTAACACCTCAGATACCTGTGCAGAGAGAAAATACTCATTTTGCTTTTTACCGTAACTTTAAAATTACCCCTATGCCCGGGCGTGTAGATTACTACATCATAACACATTTCCTCCTAATTAAGATTCTCTTCCTATAGGCTGCATTTGCGAACACCACGTGAGCTAATGTAACCTTGCTGACAAACACTGTGAAATGACTCAGCAAACCCAAGGAGAGTGTTTACGGCTCTTCCACTTCTCTCTCATTGCAAAACATAGCACCCCAATATCTAATGGTACAGACCAACAACTGCTGGTCAGGCTCATAATTCTGTGCCACGGCAGTCTGTGTGCAGCCCAGCAGAGATGGCTTGTCTATGCCTGTGACCAGCTGGCCCTCTGCTGGGGCGACCTGACTGAGGCTGGAGCCTCAGGTGCCTGGGGCCTGGACTGTGACTGCTGACTGGGTTCCCCCGTCCTCCACGTTCGGTCCACGGAATGCTGGGAGATGATGGAGAGTTCGCTGGCGGTCTCTGCCCACTGGGGCCAGGCACAGAGCCCCCGCGCCTGGGCACCCTCCCCCGTGAGGAGGGTGCCAGGAGCATTGTCTGTTTCAGCCCCCCGTTCCAACACAGAGCTCCTGAAGACCCTGTAGTTTCCTGGGTTGGGGTGGGCGTTGTTCCTGGGTGGCTCCTGGATGAGGGCTGGTCACCAAAAAGACTAAGATCTGCCAGAAGCTTGGCGTTTTCTCATGAACGTGGCTGAACGTGGAGTCAGTGATCAGTCATGCCCACATGATGAAGCTGCCATAGGGTCCCAACGTACGGGGTCTGCAGAGCTTCCTGGTCGGTGACCGCACGGAGGTGCCGGGAGAGAGGCACGCCCCAGTCCTGGGGAGGGCGCGGGAGCTCTGAGTCGCTTCCCCGTCCCTGACCCTGTACATCTCTTCCATCTGGATGTGCGTCTGTGACCTTTATCATGGCCTGTAATAAACTGGTAACTGTAAGCATGGGCTTCCCTGGGTTCTGTGAGCCACTTCAGCAAATCAGGTGAACTCAAGGAGGGCGGCCACTGGATCCTCTGATCTACAGCCAGTTAGTGAGAAGCACAGGTGACAATCAGGGTTTTCTACTGGTGTCTAAGGTGTGTGTGTGTGTGTGGGGGGGGTGCTTTGGGCAGTCAGGTAAGACTGAACCTTTGACCTTTGGAACCTGAGGCTATTTCTGGGTAGATAGTGTCAGAATTGGGTTAAACTGTAGGGCACCCAGCTAGTGTCTGCGAATTGCCTGGTGTGGGGAAGACCTCGACACATTTGGTGGCCAGTGGTGTCAGAAAAGAAGTGTTCTTTGTGACAATAAAGGAGACACACAGAGAAGAAATACGTAGTAGGGAAGAACTGGGATTTTCTCTACTCGGGAAAGAAAACCCTGAGTTTTCTCTTTACAAACACCCGAGATGTCCTCTCACATATCTGCGCCTGCGCTGGGATGGCTGAACAGCCGGGGCCGGCGCGGTCTCTCTCTCCATGAAGCCCAGCAGGACCAGCCAGGCTTCCTCACAGCGCAGTGGGCTCGGGGCCGCTGGGCTTCTTGCGTAGCGGCTCGTGTTCCCCAGGTGGTGGCTGTAAGGCTTCTTTCAACTCAGAAGGCCCATAACATCTTAGTCTCTTGCCACATCCTATTTGTCTATCGACACCAAGGCCAGCCCAGATTCAAGGAGAGGGGTGTTTGAATCCACTTCTGAATGAGAGGAAGAGCAAAGAAATGGAGCCATTTTTAAACTACCATGCTAGGGAGGGGAGGGCTCTCCTAGAGCTCAAGGCTCTTTGTGCGGATGGGAGAGCCTCTTGCAGTTTGGATCCAATCGTTTTTACTGGTGGAAAATACTGCAGGTGCATCTGTCTCCTCTCTCTCTTCTGCCCATGTCTTATTATTGAATATGTAAACCATGGCAGAGGTAGAGGAGAGCTGTCTTAAAAGGAAAATTGCTCTTAGACGTGATTAGTGATTTACCTAGAAATTTAGTATTGAAGGAAACCAAGTATACTCAGAAATATACTTGGTAAAGATTCTGTACTTAACTTGAGCAACTGCAAATGGAGAGTCTGAGATCATTACAGCCCAAGTAGGAGGAGAATCAGGAGCCAGGGCAACGGAAGGGAACACGGAAAAGATGTGGACAGAACATGCGACACTCACCAAGCTACACTGGCTAAGGGTTTCACGGTGTCCGTGGTGAGGCGGTATGGGTGCTGGTGCCACAACCCTCTGGGTGTACATGGTGATTTTTGTGCACGGCCAGGGGTCCTGTTAGGAATGTTCCGTATAGTTCTGATGACAGGTCTGGGCCAGACATTCCTACTGAAGCCTTAAGGAACAAGGTTCTATCTATAGAACCATCTCCGCATAGAGAGGCTCTTGGGTTTAGTCAGTCCCAGATCATTACCCTATGGTCCAAGCAGACACGGACAAGGAGAGCTTTGTACAGAATCCTGCCCTAGCCAGCATTTCATTTCTGGTCTGGGTATGCCACATGTACTATTAGCACTTTAAGTAACTGTATATTAGTCTTTGACAGAGTGGTCTTTTTCTTATGAAAATAATTTACCACTTTTAGATGTTCAAGTACTAAGAAGTTGAAGTTTACAAAGAAAGAATCAAACTGCAGTTGAAGTCAATATTCAAATAAAAAAATCTAGGAAAAAATCACTCATTTTGAATTCAATATCTTTTGAAGGACATTGGTTTTTTCTTTTTTTTTTTTTTAAACCTGGTGGATATAGGAAGAGAAAATTACTGTGCCAAGAGAAAAAAAATATTACCACTCTGTAATTTTTTCTAGCAGGCTCCCCTGGACTTGCTAATATTAGCGTGAACTTGCTGTCAAAGAGAACCACCTTGAAGAAGCATGGAATAAATTTTACGGATTGCATTTTAACTTTCGAATTCCAATTTACAATTACTCGTTAACTGATTTATTTTGGCCCCGGGTCCCAGACCTGTGGGTCCCTTTAAATTAAGGCACTTTGTTGAACCCAATACCACTCAAGAGTAGG